GCGGGCTGCTCGAGGACCGCTCCTGACTCGCGGGCGCCCTCTGCTGGCGGCTCGCGCGCACCGCGGGCAGGCGGGCCAGGCCTGTGCGGAGCCCACCTGGCGACCCTGCCCTGAGCAGGCGGGCTTGGCAAAGCCCTGCCCTGCAGCCGGTTCGCGCTCCGTGGTCTCCTAGCCCCACCGCCTCCGGAAGAGAAGCGAAAAGGGACGGGCGGAGAGCTTGAAAGAGACGTTCGCCCTGGTCTTTGGTTCTGTTGTGCATTTGGAATGATTTTGGAGGTGACCAGCACAGGCTGCGCGGAGAACTTACTTGCGCCAGAGCCTTCTTAGTTCGAAGGCACCATCCCCGCAGTGCCTGCCAGCAGATACTTACCAAGCAGCAAGGTGGACCCGGGGTGGACGCTGCGGGCATTGTCCTTGTCGGGTGCAGAGGCCTGGTGGGAAAGACGGGACTCGTGACGGGAGAAGGCTGAAAAGGAGAACCCATGGGCCGAGTGTGATGGCGCACGCCTGTAGCCCCAGCAGGCGGGAGGCAGAGGCAGGAGGATCACCGCAAATTCGAGGCCAGCCTAAACTACATAATGAGACTCTGTCTCAAAAAAAAACTAATAAAAAGGAGAACAAGACAGCAGCTTCGCCAGGTGTGGGGGCTGGGCAGCGGCAGGGACATCCCTCTGGACCAGAGGGGTTGTGCGCAGCAGATGCAGGTTTGGGCTGAGCGAACAGCGTGTGCAAATGCCAAGGGCTGAGGCCGGCTGCTAGAAGGCCCCCGGGGGGAGGGGGCAGGGCAGGCATTAGGACCAGGCACAGAGCTTCCTCTGCAAGCCAGGGAGGAGACTGGGGGTATCTTGGAGAGATGCGCAGACCCCTCTGAAAGAGCCCAGGTGCACCCCTAGGTACGGGGCTCACTTCTCTGCTTGTGATGAGCTGAACCTAGAGCTGCTCTCTGGACATGAAAAGGCTGTACCCAGAGCCCAGGGCAGGCTGGCGAGAACCCACAGGCTCACTTTGGAGACAAGAGAGGAAGGGAGGCCATGTCCATCCCTTGATTCTGTCCCCAGGTCCTCTGCTGTAAGCTTCCCGCTGTGCGCTGGACCACATTATAATTCACTGTTTTATCATTTCCCCCACTATGCTCCAGAAAGCACTTGGAGCCCTGCTGGGCTCACCGTTTCATCCTTCGGAGCTGCCACAGTGCACATGCATGGCACATAGTTGGTGCTCAAGAAACACTTGCTGGGTGAACAAAGGATCTGCCCAGCACTTCCTCTCTCCCTATCGCTTCCTTCTCCCTAGCTCAAATGCAACTAATAGCCTCTGTGGGCTTTGAGAATCTCCTCTGTCACTTTCCATATATTAGTTCACCTGAATCTTCCCACAGCCTATGAGTGAGTACTGTTGTTATCCCCATTATACAGAGGAGGAAACTGAGGCATAAAGAGGACAAGCAACATGCCCAAGGCACAGGGCAGTGGTTGGGGCCACGTGGAAGCCCCACTTGATCACTAAATGGGGGTGGGAATAGTTCCCAGCATGGACACCAACAGAATCAGGCAGCAGTCAAGATGGTTTGACTCATGCAGACCTGTGGTGTTGACAGTTAATCCCAGAGCTCTAGAAGTGAAATAAATCAGAAGCCTGTTGTGTTCTTACTTCATCTTTATAAACAGAAGAGCTCTAGGCCAAGAAAGCAGATTTCTAACTTGAATCATATATGACTCAACCAAACTTGAAGCAGTTTACAGACCCATAACCCTAGACCAACAGGATGTCAGGACCTTTCAAGAAATACTCTCCACTGCCAAAAATGTGTGCTGTTAATCTTTCTGTCAGTTCACCCCAAAGGCACATGTGGCCTTCAACCAAGATGGCTGTGGAGTGCAGGAAAGAGAATAACCAGACCTTTCTAAGATCACTGGACACAGGCTCTGAACTGACACTAATTTCAAGAGTCTCCAACATTGCTACAGTCCACCAATCAGAACCTGGCCTTGTGGAGGTCAGAGGATCAAGCGAATGTCAGGTTCAGCAGTCCCTGCACTTATCCTGGGGTTTTCATACAGTGGCAGTCCTGGTATTCAAACCCATAGCGTCCAGCTACAAGCCATGCTCTTTAACCCTGAGACATGCTGACTTCCTGGGAAGAAAGCATCATTCAGAACTGCAGTCCCTACCCATGCAGCCTGACCCCAGTGCCCAAGGTCATAGTGACAATGCCATCTTTTGCAATATTTGAAACAAGGCAGGAAAAGGAGGGAAAATCACAAGGTCGTGGGACTGCCAACAAGTCAGACTCTTTCCTGTGAGCTATAAATGCCACTTTTTCTCAGGTTTAATTTTCCCAGCCTCTCCCAGCCGGCATCCCACTTGCTTATCCATTTGTCCCCTCTTCTCTGCACTGTGACCTCTAGAAGGGCAGAAGTTGGGAGTTCCTTCTTTTTGGTTGTTCAATTAATAGAGTATATTTAGAACAGTTCGGGAGTTACAGAACTGTACAGAGTTCCCTTATCCCCTCCCCTCTGCCCACCCCCGACATCTGTGTAGTTAACATGTTTTTTTTAGTATGCTACATTTCAATAATGACTCAACACTGATACATGATTATTGACTAAAGGGCGCAGTGTTTCATTTTTGGTGTTGCACAGCCCATGGGTTTGGGCAAGTGTGCAGTAGCACATAGCCACCATGACTGTGTCATATAGGGCGATCTGACTGACTTCTTGGATCTCCACTGCTCTCCGGGCTGCACACTGCCTGGACAAGTAAAGTGGAATGATGTTACAAATGACCTAACACCAAAGGACAAGGCAGCGCTGACCACACCATTGAGTTCGGATCCTGAGGACAGACATAAGCTTCCAGTCAGCATGACCAGGTATGACAGTGAGGGCTGGACAGAGGCCAGAGCAAGGGGGAGCCCTTTAGCAAAACCTAGGCCAGGGAGGTCCTGGCCAACAGACAAGAACAGGAGTGTCTGGGGAATGAGGTGCAGGTTCTGTTCCTATCAGCCTAGGAACAGAATTCTCACCACCTCAGGGATAGAATAAATAAATAGATGATAAGTGATAGAGTACCAGGGGAAAGTGATAGAAATGACAAGAGAGACTGTGGACCCTCTGCACTGCTGGGCACAGGAGCTACCAACAAACCCGCACACCCACAGACAAGATGCACTTGATCCCAGCGAGAACCCAAGGAGCCCTGAAAGCAGACCCCAAGTGAGACGTCTGTGCATGGAATTTATTTATTAAACAATTCCAGAAAGCTCTAGGGATGGCCTGGGGATGCAAGATGAAATCAGAAAGGAAGGGCTGATAAAGGGTCAGCCAAGTTACTGCTGCAGACATCTAGAGTTTAACTCAACTGGAAGAAAGTATAGAAAGTACACCTCAGACTTACCCCATGCTAGGGATGCAGGAGCTGCGGTATTCATTCGCCAATTCTTACCAGTCATGAGAGAGCTACTTACTCCCCTGAGGATCTAAGTTTCTAAGTAACTCCAACAAAGCAGGCATTGGTGGCCACAGAGAGCCCCAGGCAAAGGTAAGCAGCACACACAGATGTGTTAAAGTCCTTGACAGCATCTGCTCTGCTGGCTGACTCAGCCATGGCCAGCCCAGCTCCAGCCAGACAATAGCAGGATGCATGGGAAGGGTGTCAGGGTGGTGATGGGAAACTCCTTCGGCAGGGCTCGAAGATGTCCAGATTCTCATCCTTCCACCGTGAGGCTTGAAAGGCAGGGTGGGTCAGCCTCGCCTCAGCAGGTTGAGCTCAGTTCTGCCTGGCTTTGCTCTTCCTAGCCAAATAGCCCTGGGCAGGAAAACTGACCTCTGGGACCTTCAGCTTCTTCATCCGTAAAACGGGAACCACAACAGCACCTTGTGAGATTGTTATGAGAACTGAACAAAATTATGCATGTAAAGCTGTAAGCCTGGCAAGTAAGATAAACCCAAGAAATGTACGTCTATTTTTAGACACATGTGATTCTCTTAGAGGTAAGACAAGTCCGGCTCTGTGGCTGGAGGGTCCTGAGACGACAGCATGGTGGGAAGAAACGGGGAGACCCAGTACTGTGTTGCTGAAACTGTAAACCAGGAAGTCAGAAGCAGCAGTCCCAGGGAAGAGCTGTGGCCAGAGTCTCACAGCAAGAATCTCAAACTGGCCCTGAATGAGGGCATGAGGAAAATAAACAGCCTCCCTGCTGAACTTCCCCTTGCTAAACTTCTAGCCATTTGGGAGGTGTGGGAAAAAATCCATCAGTTAGGACCGTTCTGCTCCTGTTACACCTGCCTGGCTTCCTGGCTGAGCCCCCAGAGCACCCTCCAGGGCGAGACAGTTACCCTTCCAGGCACCCATCTGTCCAAGCTGTGCACTCCCCACCCATCCAAAGCAGACTCCTCACCCAGGGTATTGCTGCTTCCTCTCCAATGAGAAAGCACAGCAGGGCATAATGACCCCCAAACCCACAACTGCTTCAGCCAGCTGCCCCCACAATCCAAGCAATTCATGATGCCATTTGGAAGCCACCTAAGCACAGCCATCAGCTGTCAGGCAGGCCCCCAAATACTGAGTGGAAATGTCAGCATGTCTGCTGCTCTGAACCACTGTTGAGAACTCCATAAATCCCACCTTACAATTCATCAGCAGACACCAGGAACAGGCTGGCTTTCTTCTCCTCCCAAGCCGTACCCCAGATGTCCACGTATCTTCACTTACACCCTCCTGGCTCCTACCCCACTTGGAACCCATGTGGATCTACGTGACGGGCATCTGCACAGTACGCCCACCCAGACCATCAACAAGTGTTCCATCAACCCAAGCAGGAAGACATGATCCTGCTTGAGAGTTATCCTGAATTTAAAGTTTCCTTGTTAATTATCAAGGTGCAGATGGCCTTCCAGGGAGTTGCCAGATTTCCGGTGTGAAAATCTTACTCTTTGTCTGTCTCACCTTGAACTCTGGGACACGACTGCAATCTTGCGTTTGTCTTCCCCTGAGGACCACTGCAGTCCAGCTCTGTGACTACTTAAGTAGGGGCCTAAGTACAGAGGAGCTTCTGAGAGTCTCCACACTCAGAGGAACTCATTTTTTTATTCCCCCACTCTGAACCAACTTGGTAAGCAGGCATCTTCCAGGACACGAGAAGAAACATCGGACGTCACCATTTATCTAAATCGCTCCTGACAGTCCTTCTTAGCGGTATCTCAGGCACATGAACATTTGTCTTGATTATCCAAATCTCCCCTCCTCTCTTTTGACTAAAAGGTTGTGCTTGGTGCCCCACTATTTTCTGCCAAGGGGTGCTGATTGCTGCAAGAGCCTTTTAATGTACACAACAGCTCTTACAACAAAGACTAATCTGTGTCTCCTCCCTGGGGTGACTGCACCATAAATTGCAGTTTAGCAAAGAGAGAGCTGAAGGCAACACCCACACAGTCTGGGTGCCTGAGAGACTGCGCTGGAGAGGAGGAAGGCGGAGCCCCAACCCAGCCCAACCCCATCCTGCTCTCAGCCTAGGACAGCCTGGCACAGGGCCACAGGCCACCCTGGAGAGGTGCTGGGCTCAGAAGCTTCTGGAAAGATCCAAGCCAAGGCCTCTGGAACTCTCAGACTCTCAACATCCCACCTTACCAGGGCTTCATGTTGAGGAATTCATTTTTGTAAGTCATATTTTTTCCAAAAAATTCTACAGTCTTTACCATGTGTAAGGGAGATTAAGATGATTTTTGTGGGCAATGAGGTCCCAGGAGGGTTTAGGGGAGGCAAAGAAGGCAGAGAAGGAACCCCTTGTCCCC